CTCTGTCTAGTAACACACACCAAGCTCCAGCCTTACTTGTTTTACTTTAAAAAACAAACAAAAACCCCAATAAATAAAAATCTCCTTAAAATCTCATGTATTCTGCATAGCATTCTTGCTTCAGTGGCTGCACACTACTCTTTGACTACTCATCACCAGTTTGTTATGCTTGCTTGTACTATACCCACTCATGCTTTTAGTTCAGTAGCTCCTCAAGGCAAAGACCCTGTTCTCTTTATGGACACCACCAACTGTAAATTCCTGTTTACATTTAGCAGTGTGTAAATAAATGTATTTATAAAGTGTATATTTGTTTCTATTATTTTTAATTCACTCAAATATCCAAGTCAATTTAAGTCTGGTCCTTGGTCTGACCATAGCAAAGAAAGAAACCATCTCTATCTATTTAACATCTTTAGCTGCTGCTGCTGATACCCCTCTCCTTCCTCATTATTCTTAACCTCTATGCAGTCTTTGTCACTTTAGATCATCCCATCCTCTGGAAAACTAAATCCACAGTTGTAAAACATTTTGGGATAGTTTGCTATACTAAATAAAATTGAACTGTACTGTCATTTTAGTAATACATATTGACTGCATCTGGTTTATTTTAAGATTATGATAAGGTTATAATGAATATAGCTATAGTAACTGACATACAAGATCCAGCCAGAGGTCCTTCTAGTCAGGTAGCTTGTCTCTGACAGTGACCAGTAAAAGTTTATTATGGAGTATTATGGAATATACTGCCCATTGTAGTGCTTCTCCTATCACTTTCTGGTTGCCCTATGTGTTGAAGCAGTTTTATAGCATTTATAACCCTTTTTAAATCTTAAAATCATTCCACAACAAAATCCTAATTACCTCATTTAACAGTGGATGTTATCTATATATAAATATATACTTCTTTTTTAACTTCTGTTAAGCTCTTGGATGCAGTAATATAGTGTGGTAATGAGTGGCACAGATTATGCGTATGTACAAACACATGATGTACAGGGACTAATCAGTGTGGAACAGACATTATTTAAGAAACTAATTATTATTAAATAGCTGAATAACTACAAAACTACTGAAAGGAAGTGTACTGCGAACATTTTGGAAACAAATCATCATAAGTTATTCCTAGGAGGGTTCTTTAACAGGCATAAACTGTGAAACAATTCATTTTCTGACTTTCTTTACTTAGGAACCAAACTACAAAATCTTCTGGTTTTCATCTGGTCACATGATGAAAATAGAATTAAGCAAATGTAGGCAAGTCATGGGCCAGATTCTCAGCTGACATAAGTCAGCCTATTAAATGGATCTACAGTGGTTTTTGCCCACTGAGGATCTAGCTCCATGTATCTGAATGTTGTTCATTTGCTATCTTACAATAGATTTTTTTAATTAAAAGGAAATGAGCAGTTTTGCTCTGCATTGCATCTGAAAGTTCACATGGTGAGCAGTACTTCACTGTCACTATCTGTAAACTGTGAAATGTATTTGAAAATAAGTGTTTGTTTAACACAGTGGGAAGCTTCTTGCTGATATTCTTTGGAGGTTTAATCAGTACTAATAAGAGACTAGAAACCTGTAAAATATCTTAGAGACCCAATCCTTCCTCATGTAAGCACTCATTGATTTCAATAAGACTACTCACATGAGTAGGACCATTGCCAACCTGAGTCATTATTTTGGTTGGCATATTTATAGGAGGCTCTGTAGCTTGCAATGGAAAAATATTAGATCTTCAGAATTTGTGAATACATGAAGAATTTAAAAGAGAAAAGTGGACTTGTCTTCATACCCCTCAAATACTTGTAAAGACACGTCAACTCCTGTAAGACATTGAGCATATCACTAAATAATAGGGGAGGGCAAATAGACCATGTTCATGTGATACTTGTCTCCAGCATTCTCCTGTTTGGACCCCTAAACATGAATTTCATTATCCCACCTCTTACCCCTCACCCTCTTCTTTCTGATGCTTGCTGCTGCTGCTGGTGCCTTTGGAGTCTTCATCTCACAGCTTCAGCCATGAATTCTTTCACAACATCAGCTGCTCCTCTTTCTCAATTCCAGCAATGCAGGGTGGGAAAGACCAGCACTAAGCACTGCTATTTCAGGGGACCTTTCTCTTCACCTAGCACTGGCTGCTCAAATTTTCTAGTCTCTACAGAGGAGGCAAAAGCAATGCCCTTCTTAGGTACTGCTGAGCTGAAGGGCTCTGCTTCACCCAGTGCTGGCTTCTCCTCTTCCCAAAAGGTTTTAAGAAAATCTCTTTTCTTCCTTTATGAGCTACTCCTGCCCTCCAGTCTTTTTAGAAAGAATGACGTGGAAATGGCAGCAGCTCCTTCTGGTAGGGAATGGTCATCCTAATACCCAAATATGTCAAGTGTCAGCCAATATTATTCATCTGTATTCAGCAGTCCAGATATGCCCACAGATAATCTATTCTCCATCTTAACATGCTGAGTGAAATTTTAGTGTCTTTGAGTGGTGCTGGACTGAAGTTGTCATCTTCATTCAGTGAGTAGGTAGAACAACAACAATGCAAGCCTCCTCACATTGTCCGGGATATCTCAACCCTATCCTAGAGAGACTATGTCTACAGGTGAAAAGTTAGGTTAGTTCCTATGCCCATTTAGTCCTTGACCTCTCTCCTGCTTCTTCCAAAATTCCAGTTATTGTAATTTGTAAATGATGATGACATCTGTCCTCTGGAAAGTGAAGTGTACTTCATTTCCTTCCCATTCTTTTTTCTCAGCAAAACACTTGGCTTCATGCTCTTCCTTTTCATTTTCCTCCTCCTTTTCCATATACCTTTTGCCCACCTCTCAGCTATTTCTCTCCCTCCCTCTCTCTTAATTATGTCTCTTTTCTGACATTCAACCCATCATCTTTCAATTCTTTCATCCATAGTCCCTAACTTCTCTCAAGTCATTCCTATTCCTTTTCATTCCCTACCCAACCTGTGCAGATTTTCACTATCTGTTCTCTCCTTCAGCAATCATGCTTAAATGCTTTGTCTTTTTATCTCTGAACAGCCACTCTCACTATACATATAATTCCTTTCCTAAATAACCACTAATTAGTTCTCTAATCTATACTCAGTATACTCCACTCCTCACTGTCAGGTTCTTCTCCAACTGCAACAGTCCATTCCTTGCACTCAAATCCCTGCGAAATGTCTGTGACAATAGCCGTCGTTCAAAGCAAGTCTTGTAAGACAATTCTCTAAACCGTCTGTTTATTTTGGCTGGATCTGGTCTGTCTAGCACTCTACAGTGGGTCACAAATTTTGCACAGCCCAGTCCATTGTTTTGATTTGTTTTGCTGGCAGCGTTGGCACAATCCATCTGCCACAATTAAAGAGCAATTTAACAGCCATTAACAAAGATGTATTTATTTCTTTATACTAAGATTATTTGACCTGCTCTTTTGACAAATGCAGTTTGTGCTAATATAATAAACTGTTGCTAAAGTGGCCAGATGGTATGGGTAATATTAGGATGTTATACAGAAGAAACAACCCTCCACCTCTATACCTAATTTGCTATTTTGAAACATGGAAGAAAAAGGAATCTGAGAACAATAAATAAATATGCTAATACAGCAAAAAGAGCTTATGAGTTCTGAGTGAGGACTGTCACTTGAGCTCACTAGTAGGGGAAACTCTTCGGTGTAAGATGCCCTGCTGATAAGCTAAAACAGTCATTGGTTATGTTAATATAATCAAAGATATGATTGTGATCATTTCAACCCTATGTGGAAAAACTGGTACAGAAAATAAGGAGCTACCAGTTGATCCTGCACACACTGAAGAAAATAATAATCAAAACATGTTGCTAATCCAACCTGATGACAAGATTGTGTGAAATTAAGAGATCTTTACTCCAAAAAAATCTTCAATGGCTGGAGGCAGTGAATGTAGGAAATGTACTGTAGGCTGTAATAATTGCAGTCTGCCCTGGGAAATGGCATCAAGGCCAGAGAAGTCATGACTCCATGCAAGCACATCCTCTAATTATTGAAAAACCTGTGTAGAGTCTCAGTGTTAATCAGTCTCTCAGAGACTTCAGGTTTATATGGTTAGTGCAGATTTATGGCATTTTTCCTTTCTTGTTATTAAAACTGGTATTTCACAAGAAAGAAACTATCTCCAGATCACTGTTAAAATGCAAAGTTTCAGTCATAAAAGAAAACTGCAGGATCATTCTGAGAATATCCCACAGAGAATCCAAACAACGAGGATAAGAAACAACATATCAAAGGCACAGAGAAAAAAATTAAAAGGAGAAGATTTTAAAATTTTAACAAAAAATTCAACAGTTGGCCTACAGATTCAAGAGGTTATAGTGTAATTAATTTAAGTGCTGGTTACAATTATGGAAATAAACACTGCATACACAAATGCAATATGCATTATACTTAATTACAGAAATGCAAAACAAATTACAAGGTTTGTATGGATGTGTGCCTGGTTACAATTATGGAAATAAACACTGCATACACAAATGCAATATGCATTATACTTAATTATAGAAACGCAAAACAAATTACAAGGTTTGTATGGATGTGTGCCTGGAGCAATTTGCATTGTTTCATCAATGATGTCATTAGAAAATGTACATATTTATGAAGGGTTTTTGAATGAAATTACATAAGACCAAACTTTACCACCTTTACTGTACTTACTGGTTCTGCCAGGACACCCACTGTCAGCTTTCAGCTCCCCAGCCATTGCCTTTCTTTGTGGAGACCAGTGTCTCTCTCCCTTCACACTGGGATATTTCTAGGTTGCACAGTTCCCAGCCTTCACCATGTATTTCCTAGCAAAGACAGTCTGTCTAAACAGACCTGCTTGCTTTCTCTTCAGAGACTGATAACAGAGTAATTGCTACAGATGTCACAGCTCTTTGAAAGCAAGCACATTTATTCTTATGTTAAAAAGCATTACAGAGAAAACATACTAAAATCAATAAAAGAATGTACATGCATGTTAATAAGCTTACCAGAGATCAGCCCATCCGTAACGTGGATTCTGGCAGGAAAATCCTTCAACCCATGATCCTAAAGGAGGTCTTGTGATTACCTCTTCATCACTGCTTCAGGTCAGAATAAGCACATTCATGACAAGTTTAGTCCACCCTTCTGTGCAGATCAGGGTCTTTGAGCTGAAGTTCACAAAAACAGGTAATTAGCATAAAATGAGTCTCTCTCCTCAGGGAATAGTTGCAAAAGTTTGGTTTAAAGGGGGAAAACTTCCCCTCACCTCAAGGTACTTCCTAGGAAATCCACTTTACTTGTATTGTTTCAAAAAGACCTTTGAACTTCCTCATACCTTCCAGAGATTGCATTAATCTTATCTTCCTGCTAAAGAAGTTCCATACTATCTCAGAACAGTACACAAATGATTACATTTCCAGTGCAGTATACCCCAAATATATCAATCCTAATTCAATAAGGAATAACTTGATTCAATAAAGTTCATTCAGGATACCATCAGCCTCATGTTACCTATGGTAAAAAATTGTCAGATAATGTATTTGGTAAATATTTTTTCAGATTTTCTACCAGCTGGATTCCAAAACATCTGGCATTGGGAGTGAAAATCATGTCCACAAAATAAATAAAATGTTCCATTCTGAATCAAAATAGAAAACAAAATAAATCAGCTAATATAACTGAGTATAATTTAACTGAATGACTTAGGTTGCTCTTTATGTATGGAAAAACCTTATATTTTCAGCCTGAATAACTTGCTTTAAATTAAGGGAAACCCACAAAACAAGAAAACAAAATCTGAGTCAGGTTGTGCATTCTGACTCCTGTCGCCTTTGTACCACACCAGAGGCACAAAGGGAACTGAGAAAGAACCTAATACAGTGTCTGCGGATTTCCCTGATGTAGGATGGATTCTGCAGGTGTAAGGGGTGACTCTCATCTGACAGAGCTGTCTCTAGGGCACTCTAGTCAGTACAACTTAAAGCAGCCACTATCTGTTAGTTCTAGGATTGTTGAAGCAGAAATGTGCCCACAGACACCTTTTCTCCTACTGTAACATGCTGCATCAACTCTCCCTCACAATATTATAGATAGTGCTGCAAACAGCGGAGACCTAGAAATGTAACAGTGCAGTATACAGAAAACAAGATCATAACAATTACATAATTGTACATCACTGATTAGAATTGATAAGGATTTGGGATGGGGAGTAGATCGCCCACAACCAGATATGATAATCATGCACGTCAACCTGAAAAACCAGAACCAGCACTGCATAGAATGTTGGCTACAGGGACTTTGGAGATCCTGGTTATAGTCTTGTTTGATTTGCCTATAACATTCAATTTACTAGTCATTATTGACTGCTCTTCATGATGCCATGAAATAACCATCCTAGGAAAAGTAACTTTAGACATAGCCTCTCTGGGGAAAAACATGTACACATGGGCTACCACAAGACGTCATAACTGATGATAGGTCTTATTTCGTATCAGAGGACTGCCACGCTCATTCTGTACAGGATGAGCAGTAGGTATCATAGTGAAATCTTATCAGCTACAGAGCATGAGAAGTTGGATAGATGAAACTGGACTTTGCCTAAAGCAATCTGAATAACTGAACTAGAGCACAAAGCCTGGAAAGAAAAACTGCTGATATTCTTTAGAACCTGCAGGTCAATACCTCTCACCACTTCTTCATAAATCCAATGGAACGGTTTGTATGGAAAAGAAATTATAGGTTAAGATACCATACATATCGCTAGGAAAGGAGCAGAGCAACTTAAAAGTCCAAATCACTATATTGAAGGGCGAGGTGTGTGTAGCAAGAAGTGTCACACAAAAGAAGGAAGATCTTGGAACCTAAATGTAAAGTTAGTTGGTAGAGTTGTGGTAGAGAAGAAATGGAACAGTATCCTTTCAGACAGTGAAGGTGGCCGGAGTCTCATGCAGAACTCATCACTGGTGAAGACATTTCAGGACTGTCGTGGACTAACTCACTCATGGGCTGCAAACCAGTAGATAAGAACATAAGAATGGCCCATTCTGGGTCAGACCAATGGTTTATCTAGCCCAGTATTCTGTCTTCCAACAGTGGCTGGTGCCAGATGCTTCAGAAGGAGTGAATAAAACAGGGCAATTTATCAGATGATCCATTCCCCGTTGTCCAGTCTCAGCTTCTAGCAGTCAAAGGTTTAGGGACACCCAGAGAATGGATTTGCTTCCCTGACCATCTTGGCTAATAGGCATTGATGGACATATCTACCATGAACTTATCTAATTCTTTTTTGATCCCAGTCATACTTTTGGCTTTCACAACATCCTCTGGCAATGAGTTCCACAGGTTGACGATGTGTAGTGTGAAGAAGTAATTCCTTATGTTTGATTTAAGCACAAAATGATGGAAAGATCACGAGATCAGATGTTCTCAGATTATGGCTGTGTCCAACTCCCAACCAAAAAATAGGGCCTTTCAGGATTTGGATCTGACCTAGAACCAAAACCATATAAGATTTTGAAAAGCATCTAGGGTAAAAGCTCCCACTGACTGCAGTGGGACCAGGATTTTACCCATAGAATTGTTTATAAAAAAATTCATCCCTACATAAAATCCATTATTCTCTTTTACCATGGCTAATATTACATCTGCTATAATATATAATAAAAAAAAGTACAAGAATATAAAGCTGTGCAGCAAGGAAGTCAGTGGGTTGTGTCAGCCACACAAAAGCAATTTTAGCTAATGTTTGTTTATTGGACAACATAATGTGGAAGTTCATCAAGGAGCAAAAAGACTTTAATAATACACCTGTCGATGGTCTGCACTAATAGGCATTAATATCCACATATACTCACCTTCGTTATATGTTGCTCTGGCTGTTCAGCCATTCCCAGAGATTATCTGTCACTGGTTATCTTGCTAATAGGATGTATACCCAAAAGGAGAAAGCAGTTTTTTGCTCTATTCTAGTTACCATGCAGTGTTAAAACTACATATCTAGTTGCAAAAAGTATAGAGTAGATGAAGGGTCAAACTTCTAGATATTTAGATATTCTAGACAAATTTTCAAATCAGCTTCTATATTTGCATGCCTATAATTTGCATGCACCTGCATTTTTACATGCCATCTTAGTTCAAATGTGCTAAAACTGTGTTTTAGTGAGTGAATTAGATCGTTAAATGCCACCCTTATAAAATATAACCGTATTCTACAATAATAGCCCCAAACTGTAATGTTGATATTGTTAGATGTAGTGTTTTGGATCATTACTATACTGTAGAACTTTTTGCAATTAGCTGATTTGTGCAGGTAAATACAGTGTGCATACTGAATTTTTGAACACATGAAAATTTTCTTTTTAGAAAACTCCTAGTACTATAAACCACATGTAGGTTCCATTTAAATTATAGGAAAGTGGCAGAATCAGGCTCTCCCCTCTTATTTTTGAAGTTAAGTTGGTGTCAATCATTGAAAATAATATCATGTAATATTAATAATGTGAAGAGAGAGTGGACTTCTGGCTAGTCAGCCTTCTTTATTTAACTGTCTTTTTTTCTAACTTGCCATTCAGTGGCTTTGTAGCAACACAGTATTACTCTTCCCCTTTTAAATAAAAAAAACAAAAACTGGGTTTTGAAATAAGTAGTTAGAATGGTCATGCTAGATTGGCAGGTGTGATTGGACCATCTTCACTTATAAATAAAGCAAAAGATCTGCAGAGCCCCTTTAAAGTTCAAATCAATGATGTGCCAGAAAGCACTTCTTCCCTGGTTCGTTTCCTGCTGTTAGCCAAGATGGTGACCATCCCATACACGGGCGTTTACCAACCTGCACTGCACCAGATATTCAGCACTTGGTGCCAGAAAAAAGGGTAACTTTAATCCTGGGGCCACCAAGCTGGTTCTTGGGTGCAACTTAGAGAAGCCTCAGTATTGCTGTACGTTTTTCCAGCTGCCAGTGGCCTTTCAGGAGCTGATCTGCCAGCTGACGCTTGCTGAGGCACAGGCATTCCCAGGGCAAAGCCCCTATGGCTGGCTCTAGGGATGTGGCCAGGAATTCCTCTCAACTCATTCCCCTCAAACAAATCTAAAACCAAATTCAAAGGGGGCTAGGTAAGATGGCATTACAGCTGCTTTGTGCTGCAGGAGCAGATATTTTATTTCATTTCAATAAAGTTCAATAAAGCTTAAAATCTTTACCACTTCTGGGGCAACAGACTCAAGCTATTAGCCTGAAGTCCCTCTCTCAAATGAGCTATGTTACTGAGATATAATTTCAGTTCAGTTCTTTTGCGACAAAGAATGAAGTTCAATAGTGAGCCGAATCTGTCTGAATAACATTACTCCAACATATCATGATCCTATGTGAAAATGCATCTCTGGCAACCGGGCATCACAGAACTAATAAAGACAGAAATTGTTAGGACATAAATAACAAGGGCAAATCAGTTATAAAGACTTCTTGTACTAACAGAGCTGTGCCAGGAAAACACACACATTGATATAATCCTCTCCCCTTTTTGTGGTGCAGGGATGTAATGAGATGAAAACTCAATATTATTTTGAAGATAATAGACTTGAGCAAGGGAGACAACATACCTCATCTTTCTGATTCTGAGGAACTCCCCATGTACAAACTGCGCATTTGGGCCATACAATTGCAGTAATAAGGAGTTTGGCTGTACAGGCAAGACAGAAAGCCATGAACCTCAACTCTCTGAAGTATCTTCCCCCTTAAAACCCAGGGGGGTTCTCTCTCTGTGCCAGTATTAAGTGACACAGGCTCCTGCTTCACTCTGGGAAAGGGGTTGGCCCTCTAAAATTGTGGGTCCTTGGATATGGGCCATTTGTGCAAAGCCCTGCTCCACCTGCCCAGCTTCCAGAGCCAACCTCCATTCCCACAACAGCATGGCTCCCTCAGGAGACATGTTCCTTAGGGGTGGGGGAGAGCATGCTGCAGAGCTGGTGCAAAATGGGCCTTATCTGCTGCCTCTCTTTGTACAGTAATAAATAGAAAAATCAGGCCAATGTTATTGATATATGACTGGCTTGCATAGCACAATTGTATTTGGTGCTCTGTATTCAGGTAGTACTTCTGCTCAATTCTTCAGCTTCAGCAGTTCACTTGTTTTTATTTTTATATTATCTGGTAATTTTAGATGCAGTTGTTTTACGTTTTTCAGCCTGTGTGAGATATTCTCTATAATCCCCAGAGTTTTGTATCCTGTTTTATACTACTTCTCTTGTTTTTATCAGTTGTCATCTACTGTGCCTGAGCATTTTACTCTCGGGTGCTTCAATTATATATGAATGTGATGAGCTTCACAGTAGTAGCTAGTTTCCATTTGCCATCTAAATCTCTTTGTACATGAATGGAGTAACCTATATTTAACTTCAGAGGCACTTGTGCAAATCTGTTGTATTTCAGCTTTTGCTTTTGTCTGCTTACTTTTATTTGATAATTGATTTCTAGTTGGTTCTTAGTTTTATTGTTTTCGGAATATATATTTTCTTTCAAAAACTAGCTAGGGAATGAATCACATTCATCAAAAGCTGGATTATTCTGGGGCCATCATATAAATGCTCCATACTGGCTCAATGCCCCGCAGCAGCCCTCTCCAGACCTCAGCACAAAGAGTTCTTTACAAAAATGTCGGAATAAGGACTTCAGAATCTAGCCCTAAGCAGCGCAGCAACATACATACAATTACAGATCAGATATATGTTGGAGAAAGGTGTCATTCCAAAAGAGCAAGGAGAAAGCAAATGCCTGAGCAGGCCAGATGTAAATCAATAAGCCACACAAAGTAAAAACTAGAACTGGGCAACGTTTTTTTGGACTAAATTTTTTTCACTGAAAAATGCAGGTTAGGGTCAACTGAAACATTTTGCAAGTTTTCATTGATTTTGGCAAATTGTATTAAACATAGGAATGGCCATAGTGGGTCAGACCAATAGTCCATCTAGCCCACTATCCTCTGTTCCGGAAGAGGCTGGTGCCACAGGCTTCAGAGGGAGTGAACACAACAGGGCAATTAGCGAGTGATCCATCCCCTGCCATCCAGTCCCCGCTTCTAGCAGTCAGAGGTTTAGGGACACCCAGAGCATAGGGTTGTATCCATGATCATCTCAACTAATAGCCATTGATGGATCTATCCTCCATGAACTCATCTAATTATTTTTAAACCCAGTTCTGCTTTTGGCCTTCAACATCCCCTGGCAACAAGTTCCACATGTTAACTGTTTGTTGTGTGAAGAAGTACCTCTTTATGTTTATTCTAAGCCTATTAATCTCATTGGGTGACCCCTGGTTTGTGTGTTATGTGAAAAGATAAACAACACTTCCTTATTCACATTCTCCATACTATTCATGCTGAAATGAAAAGAGGGAAAAAAATTCAGAATGTTGAGATTATCGGATGAAGCATTTTGACTTTTCTGACTAGAGTCACAAAGGGTTTTAGCCATCATTCACAAACCTGGTGGTGGGTAACTCAGACTTACCTTATAACTATTATCCCAATGGTTAGGGAACTCATGTGGTATATGGGAGACAAAGGGTCAAATCCACACTCAGGAACAGACTGGAATCTAGGTCTCCCCCTTCCTAGGTAAATGCCCTAACTATGTTATTGAATACTGGGGGAGGCGGATTGTCTCAATCGCTCCTGCTGAAGGTGTTCCACTTTGTATAAAATACTAGAATAGTCATTGGGCATGGCTCTATAGCCTGGTGGTTAGGGCATTCACTTGAGTGGCAGGACAGCACTGCCTGGGGTTCCAGTCCCTGCTCCAATGACTATTTAAATATATAGCTATAATGGAACAGCTTCAGCCATTACAGGAGACATTGAAAGAGGCCCACAGCAGAATACCCAACAGCCCAGTGGTTAGGGCACTCACCTAAAAGTGGGGAGAGACCAGGTTCAAATCCCTGCTCTAGAGAAGGGATTCAAACCAGGGTCTCTCACATCCTAGGTGAGTGTACTAGCCACTGGTCTAAAGATTATAAAAGCACCATCACCTCTTCTTCCTCTGTTTTTAATTCCTTTGCTTTTATTACAAATGTCTGACAGGAAACATTTTGTATAAGGTCAAATGAAATGTTTAGCTGAACCCAAAATACATTTTTCACACTTCTTTCAATTAGCTGAAAATTCTGAAAAATATCAGTTTCAGTTTGATTGGCACCAATTTTTTTTTAAATATTTCACAACAGCCAGTGAACTGAAAAATCAGTTATTCGCCCAGCTCTGGGAAAATTTAGAACATTTTTCAGAATTTCAAGTATCTCCAGCATGGATTCAAGTGTCTAACAGTTATGGGTATGACAGATGGCTTCGTCACTGACTCCTGTAGCATTATGAGTCAGTTTTTACAAAAGGATAAACAGTATTTCAACTACAGTTGGCTGGAGAATATTGATATTTTGAAGACAAAAACATTTTCTCAGAAAATATTGCAGAAAGTTCTGTCCGCTCTATTTTTAGTGTCTTATTTGTAGAAATTATTATTTGCATAGCTCCAGCAGTGTGTAGGTGGCTTGATTTTCAGAGGTTCTGAGCTCCCACAACTCCCATTCAAGTCAGTGAAACTGTTTGCTCAGTACTCTGAAAATTAGATGATAATCTGCAACTAGAAAGGCAATGTCCCTGCTCTGATATGATTATTATCACAGAGAAGGTACAGATAAAGATGGGGATGGAATGCAACAAAAAGCAATGTGGTTCAACAGTGACATTTTGCACCTGCCTTAGTAGTTGCATGATTTTGCTTTTTACTTTTTTTTTAGACAAAATCTGCAGTATGCACAAATACTTTTTCATAGTAGCTACACAGTTTCTGTTTAAATAAAGAGGAAATAAACACATGTGCAAATGCAAATAAATCTCATTCCCTGTTCATGTTTGTTTTCCTTTATCCCCACACAGTATCTTAGGTTAGTGATCTGATACAGAAGATTATTCCAATCAAATCATAGTTGTAGAATTCTTCCTTAAGACTTCTGAGCCAAGTAACAGTGTTTAAAGACTTTCTGCACCAGCAGAAAAGTTCTTCTAACACTGAAGTTATTTTTTCACCTATTCATGTGATAACTGTGCCTCATTTTATATTACTCAAAAATGTGATGAGTGAACAATATATAATATATAAAACCACAGGTCCACAGAGCTCATGCACTACCATGAGCGTTTTCACGCTGTTCCCACCTCTTCATTTACTTAATGAAATAGTTCATGTATCATGCATGCATACCAGTGGTTTTAAAAAAAAGTGAATAAACTAAGTTAAACTAAATTCCTTATTCTCCAAATGAGAAGTGGGTAAACTCCATATTCCCTCAAGGACCCCCATGTGCACTACTGGTGTACACTAACATTTCCTTCCAACTCACACGATAATGTAAAGTGTATAGCCAATGTGAAGAGGAGAGCCTGGTGTTAAAACTTGTATTGTTCCCTTAAGCAATGGGGGGGGGGAAAAGGCGGGTGAGGGCAGTGGGTGAATAACCTTGGTACTCACATTTGAAGACCATATTCATATATACGTTTAAACCAATCCATATGGATGCTGGTAGTCAGGTGAACATTTGCCACAATAAACACATCTTCCTGTAGCAAAGATCTATAGAACAGAAAGTAGTTATCTGAGGACAAAAATAATCAAAACAGAGTCTTTAATATTTAGCTACATAATATTGTGTTTGTGCTTTTAAAAAAAAATCCATGAGCACCTAAAATGCCTTTCTGAATGTTGATAAAAATTTTAAAAAATAACAATTTGAAAAGATTTTTTGAATCAGTTGTTAATTCGTGACTTGACTGACAGTCTCACTAATCAGGAAAGCAGCATGAACAAGTGGCTAAGTAAATATGAGTCAAAAAGCATCAAGAAATAAATGACTAAAAAAATAACAACAGTATGCCGGGGGATTTCTTGAATTCAAACCTGTTCAAACACAGATTGAGTTTAAGATGTGTGGTTATTTGTTAAACTGTGTTTAATGAAATGTAAAGACCTATGTGCTTTTAAATGGATAATTTATGTGCAATTTTATTGTCTCTCAAGGTTTAATTAAATGTTTGCCTTGTGGCTAATCAGCTACAATTAATAACAGAAGCTTATATTCATGTCACTTATAAGGAATGTTGAAATTGTCTCCATGAGAATTTCAGTATCTTATTTATGGATGGCTGAGAACAACAGTCTAGTATACCAGATGCTTGCTCAAAATAACACTGAGGAACCTAAAACAAAATCTCACAAATATACCATGCCACACTTGTATCACAATACTTTATGTTTTATAGGCTACTGTGAAGATAAATATAAGAAACTTTTTGTAATATATTTGTTCAGCACTTTTCATCTTAAAGGTTTCAAAGTGCTAAGAAAAAGGGCTGCGTTGTACCTCTTAGCCTTATTGGACAAAAGGAGCTTATATCTCATTGTTGAAGTATTCAGAGGGGAAGGAACTTTGTGCTGAAATTGGCTGAAGCAAGATTCCACTTCTGGTGTGGACTCTGACTTAGGCCCCAGAGCCACTGTAATTGAAGGGTATGAGCTACAGTATTTTAGCAAAATAGAAAAAAAGGAAAGGGTACGGGTCAGTGGTGCAAGGCATTAAATGTCTTTGGTGGGATGATGACTGGTTATTATATTCCTACAAACTGTTCTGCCAAATTCTGTTTCACACAAGCTACATGAGGTTTCATAATGCTGCAAGTGTTTTTGATGCTTAGCAGGTCAACATTTAAAATGTAAATAACTGACTACTAAAAGCTGTTCCCCAAGCTTAATATACTACATAAAACCATAGGCATCTACAAAGTTCATGCCAACAAAGGCAGTCGTTGCCTGTCACTGATTACATTCTGGAAGTTGGTCAGAGAGAGGATTCCAAATCACTTGAGGTGCACAAGACACCTCTCCTCTGTAGTTATAATTATTATTATAGGTTGGGTTAAACCTCACTGAAACTGGTAGTGTAACAGCTGCCCTTCATGTAGGATAAATGTAAGAAACAATAAGGGCCTCAAACCAGACACAGGCACAGTCACTGGCCAAAACAAAGGCACATCTGAGTCTGCTCAGGAAAGAGAACTATGTGGGAGGAGGGTTTTTGCTGGATATTCTTTGGTAGAGAGGAGTGTATGTGTCCATGAGAGAGAGGAGAAAAACATCAGAGAAGTAGAGAGGGGAGATAGCAAGGAAGCACCAGACACAACCTACACAAGCACTGGGAGCCTGGCCCCGAGCAAAGCCTTAGAGACAGCCTTTTGGGCTTAAGGAGGCTTGGAGCTGTGAGCAAAGAAATTATCTCCTGTTGTTCAGATGCTTCCTGTGTTTAGGAAAACAGGGCGTACTACATTCTTTGTAATTAGACAGGATTGCATCCAAGATACACCTGACTCCACCAATTTGTCCTTCTAATGGAAACAATTTGCAAGGTTCAGAACTTTGGCTCACTGCTCTGGCCAGAAAGGGGTAACATTATTTATTATTAGCATTGCAGTAGTGCCCAAAGGTCTCAATCAGGATTGGGTTCTCACTGTGAGTGATGTACAAATAAGACACAATCACTGCTCCAAATTGCTTACAGTCTAATTTAAAACAAGAGGCAGTAAGAGTTACAAACAGCAGGAGGGAATAGCAGAAGGAAGAAGAGGTTAACAATAATAAGAATGTATAGTTACCTAGGTGAGCTATATGCACAGGTTCATAGTTCCAAATCACTGGAAAAATATTTATCCTTCAATATATAAATATTATTCATCTCCATTGGCCCTGTTCCTACTTATTAATTTCTCTGATGTAAAATGAATTTTTTTCTGTGGCTTAGTGCATTGTAACAAACAAAGAGAATTGTGTGAGAGAACTTGTGTGTCATCACTTGTTTAATATATTTTATAGTGTCTGTTTTGACTTTAAGGTCCTGGTTCCTACACAAGACCATGTTTAAAAAAAATCAATCTGAAATGCAGTGCTGTGCAATACATTTGGAGGAACACAAAGGATTGTACTACACTCATGTTTGCATTAGTTTAAATAATTAAAGACCTGTTTGTTTTTAATTCTTTAGAACACATCCAGAATGTTGGTTATTTATGTATTAAGTAATATAAATAATTTTTTCAGTTTTAATATAATTTATAGCTAAAAGGATAGTTTAAAATAGAGTTATTCTGTGACAAACTAACTCATATAGTGAGATAAAAGAATCTTTGGGCATGTCTACACTTGCAAAGTTACAGCACAGGCATATACAGCGCCGCTCAGAGAGCGCAGAAGGGAAACTGCTGTTGTGTGTTCACACTGACAGCTGCCTGCGCAATAGCATGTTCACACTTGCATCGGCATTCGTAGCGGTGCACTCTGGGCAGCTATCCCACAGAACACCTCTTTCTCTTCTACTGCGAAGACTTGTGAGAAGGCGGAGGGGGTCATGAAGCATCCTGGGTCCAGTCCCAATGCCCCGTGATGCATTGTTTCGCATCCCAGCAATCCCTGTGCTTCCATCCACATTTGGCACCATCTTTCAACGGTTTGTGTACTGCGCGCCCTGCCTTTTTCGGGTTTCAGGAATGGATCCCAAACTGCTGACCAATATGCTGCTCGCTCTGACCAACACGTCACAAGTGGCAGTGGAGTTATTCCTTAAACTACAAAGGCAAGAGGAGTGCGACATTGATCTCACCACGCGTAGTTGCTATGACACGAGACTGCTTGTGGCATTATGGAGGTGCTGACCACAGTGGAGCTCTGCTTTTGGGCTTGGAAAACAAGCACTGAATGGCATTGAATCATGATGCATGTCTGGGATGACGAGCAGTGGCTGCAGAACTTTAGCAGGAGGAAAGCCACATTCGTGGGACTGTGTGATGAGCTCCCCCCAGCCCTGCAATGCAAGGACAGGAGAATGAGAGCTGGAGAAGTGTGTGGCAATAGCACTGTGGAAGCTGGCTACTCCAGACTGCTACTGATCAGTTGCAAACCAAGATTTCCTCCTCCTGGCTCGATCCACTCTCAACCGGCATGTGAGCCAATAAAGTATCCACAGGGGCCTTCACAGTAGAAGTGGGGTCATCAGTGAATATCGCATCCAGCTCTTTGTAGAAGTGGCAGCTCGTGGGCGCAGCATCGGAGTGACGGTTTGCCTCCCGCTCTTTGTGCTAGGCATTCCACAGCTCCTTTACTTTTACCCTTCACTGCAATGTGTCCCGGTCATGGCCCCTTTCTATCATGTATTATGAAATCTGTCCATAGGCATCATAATTCCTGTGGCTGGAGCGCAGCTGGGACTGCACAGCTTCCTCTCCCCAAATGCTGAAGAGGTCCAGCGGCTCGGCATTGCTTCAAGTGGGGGATTGCCTGGTGCGTGGAGCAGTGATGGCCACCTGGAAAGATGCACTGAGACCACTACATGCATCACCGAGAAAATAGGAAGGGGACTTTCAAATTTGCAAAGGAATGTACAGGGTGGGGCTGATGGTTAGTCACCTAAGGGCAAGGCAGTACAGTTCAAACCAATGACCAGAGAGGTGAGAACAGGCATTGTGGGACACCTCCCAGAGGCCAGTCGCAGCACTGTAATCACCACAGTGTCTACACCTCCTGGAGGCCAATCACAGCACTGTAGCCGCGGCACAGAAAGCTTTACATCTCGGGAGTTACAGCGCTCAAAGCTGCTTTAGTGTGCAGAAACTTGCCAGTGTAGTAAGGGCCTTTAAGAATGAGAATATCTCACTTCTAAAGAGTGACTTATTTTTTTGTTAGGAATGTGAAAGACTCCTTTACCAAGAAGTCTACAGCCTTCTCAGATATGTTTCCATTTAGTGTAGCCTGAAGACCATCCAAAATGGACAAAGTTTGAAATATCTATATTGGTTAAACTTGGAGGGCCAAATTCACTTATCCATCCATAAGTGGGAGTTGTGCCCCCTTAAAATGGAGCTGAATTTTGTCCTGGAATAAGCAAAATGCAATAGGGATTTCTGACTAACTACAATGAGAAAATTTTTGTGCTGACTTTTATGCTGTGCTACTCAAATGAAGTCAAAGGAGCTACAACAGAGTTCCAGTGATGTAACTCAGAGAGCAGAATTTAGCTCAGTTTGCAATGGCTAGTATCAGTTACTAATATGAATTCTGACTTCAAGTTTTTTAAACATTTTCTCAAAAAACCCAAAAACCCTCTCCATAGAATAAACAGCAGCTCGACCTAGATATTGATTATTACCTTTCATTCACTCATGAAGGAGACCTTCAAACTCACTTGCCTGAGGCAGTCAGGAGCTCCAGGTCTTTCGTGTTCATGAAAGAAAGATAACACTCACTCTTCTGGGGAGAGACATCTGACTATACAAATTCACTATTCTTTTGTATCCTTTAGCAAACTGCACCTTTGTGGACTTCTAATTTCTTAACATTTTATTCATTATGCTAACCTGGATGTCATGTGGATTCTGAAATAGCAATGAAATGGACCAAGTATTGACCAGCTGCATCAGTGATGCTGAGTGATAAACTTTTATAAGTAAATCTTTCCTGATAAACTTTTAATGTTAAAAGTTGCTGAAGCAGATAAGGTGATCCCATTAGAAATGTTTTAGTAAG